CATAATGAATAAAAAATCTGGATTATTCTTGAATTATCATTCATTCATGAATAAGAAATAACAAAATCAGTCCCTACTCACGTAATCAGAATAAATCGAATTTATTCGATACGTTTATTCGTTATGGCAAAGAAATAATGGATAAAATATGGAAAAGTATTTTCGTTCGATATTGTGATGATGAAAAAGAACAAATGCTCATTTTTAAAAAATTAAATAACTTTTCTATTCAATAAATAAAAATTTGAATTGAATAATTAATAAATTTAAATGTAACTCACCCATTGAACCGCAAATAATCACGATGAAAATGCATCTCTGTCACTAGGTCGATCCATCGATCCTTACTGTTCTCATAAATAATAGAAACTCTGAAAAAACTCTCAAGAAACTTCACTGTCATCTTTCATTATTAGTTTTCATTATCACTTTTTTCTGTCATTTTTCACTAATTTTCACTAATTTTCACTGTGAGTTCAACACATAAATACGACGAATGAAAACACATAAACGAATATTCAGAAATAATTTAAACTATATTATCTTGAAAGCAAGAAAACAGAATTTTTGATTCAAAACAACGATACATTTTATTTCAACACGTATCTTTTGACAATAAACGATGACTGTCGATCAACGTCGCAGTCGTTCAACAGATCATCGTTGCATGGCAACCGTTCGCGACGTATGCCTCGCGATCGAGAACGAAACCGCGATCCGTGGCCAGTCTAACAATGTCTTGTAATAAAATACAATATAATATCGATTCCTTAATTCGGATACCTTATAATGAGAATATAGCGTATCGTTAAACATACATATCTATGAATAATCGTTCCCGCGTTTTCTATTCGATCCGTTTACTGGTCGTGCTTATGTTGTGCAATTATTAGAAAGAGACAGTGAAATAAATTGAGAGTTCATTGACCCTGCCAGGACATCAGCTATTGATACTCTGATCGGTGGATCTACCCGGTGACACAAATATTTTTTATCGAAGCTAGTTTCTTCATGAATCAATGGGTAAGTTTTATTTTGATGTTTTTGTATTTTTAAAATTAAATGTTCGCAGCAATTGATTTATTTCATTTCAATGAGGTACTGCATTAGATATTCCATTCTAGTTTTATCCCATTTCATAGACAAAGTACTCATTCGTTTTGAAACGTAAATTTATTCGTTTGCTTCATTCGAAGAGTCGAAAAATTAATTTTCTTGAATTTATTCTTTTTCCTTTTCGAAGGCATAAAATAAATACAATATACTTGGTCTGGGTAAACAACAACTAATTGGTTTATCTCTCATTCATGAATTACAAAGAATTTAATATTATTCTTAACTTCTTAATTCATTATTCGATTTAACTTTTACCTAATAGCTTCCTGTTATACCGACGATATACCGACGTTATACCGACGTGGTATCGATACGCTTCTTCACGATCACGATCGACTGTCATTTTCGAAGCTGTCGCTATCGCGTCTGAGCGCGCGAAATCCTCGCGCTCTGATTGGTCCGTGTTTTTGCTTAATAATTCAAAAACGAAGCTTCAAACCCCATTTTTGCAAAGGAAAATCTTGTTCAGAATGACGTCCTCTACCACCCCTTTCAGGGAGTAACACTAGTTACGGGACACCCTGTATGTATATTAGATCTTTTCAAGTGTGCAGAACACTGTCACTCTCTACTAGCCACATGTGTCACTCTCTACTAGCTACGATAATCCCATTTTAATAAAAGCATTTTTGGAAAAAACAAGTCACCCTTTACAAACACAAATAAAATTGCATGTTTTCTTTTTAAAAATAACAATACCTATATTTTGATAAAACTTTAAATCAAGACGTTCAATTTTACATAAATGACAGGATAATGAATACGGTTCGTTTTTATTTTATTGTAACTGAGTAAATAAACCAATTTCATGATTATACACGTCCTTTTGTAGACACTTTTAATTAATACGACTTCAAGTTTTTTAAGGACTGTCAAATTTACTTCTAAAAATAAGTTATTCCTAACTTGGGATATTTTTCTTTTAAATTTAGTTAAAGAAGTCTATCATACCAATGTATATAGTTTGCATCTAAACATTTTTTTTGTACTATGATGCAACAAATTTCTGGCATCAATTTTTGTCGAGTCGTGTTTGAGTGATTCACTCGGCCAGTCTACTACATATTTCCATTATCCCTTTTGTACTATCTTGTTCTTGCAACTTTCCGACCAGCTATCGAGATTCAATCAATAAAGTAGACAGGAGCTCCCAAACAAACCCGACAAAAGAGCAGCTCTTTAAGCGACGTTATGTCTATTAGTGTGACTCTTATTGTGCCCTTGATGACAATTTTTGTCAACATTCTTTTTATGATAAAATAGTTCCAATTAGTAAAACAAAGTATACACTTGAGTTTGATCAAATCATGCAGAAACATGTGTGGTGCTATAATTACACTGTCCAACAGTCAATTAGCGTTTCGATTTCTGAGGAATGATATCATAGCTTTTTTTGTACTGATTACGAATCGGCAACCTGTTTGTCTCTGTCATGTACACTTTTTGAGGAATTGGTTTTTGTAAATAAGGTATATTTTTAAAATTCAAACAAATTTTGTGACGTAATTATAAAAGATACTAAAATTCTGTTTGTGTAAAAGATTATGTAAACTTCCCTAAATACAACGGTATTTGTTTTTTATGCATTCTGAATATTTAAACTTGTATGAACAACTATCGAACGCGGAGAGAGACCGATTTTGCACAAATTTATAAGTATATTTTTCAATCTATCTTAAAATGTAAACATTTAATGGAAAATCAAACTATACAACACGATGCAACAGACTTTCACCTTTAAGGAACACTCAAGAGAAAGTTGTAACGTTAATTTTTTTACAATACAAAAAGCAAAATAGCAACGCTGTAGATTGTAGATGAAGGGAAAACGTTGGTACTCCGTAACGAAGCGATAGTTCGATGTCCCGTCTATGTACGTTGCAAAAAAAGTTTTTCGGTTGCATCTACAACCAATTAAATTCCTTTCCTTTTTTATTTCCCTTTATATGTATATTAACGCGATGCAAGTACTTCAATAAACTGTATCAGTTTATTAAAGTTATTATTATTAATTTTATTATTGTTGCTATTATTATTCATATTGATGACGTGTTATTTATTGATAAACTACTAGTCCCTTCGTTATTTAAATAACTTTATATACTTTTAAAATCGTTTTTTCCTAGATATTGTATCTCATGATATAATAAAAAGTTTTTTTTTGTAAAAGATCACTTATATATATGTGGCGGTTTTACTCCCACGCTCATCGCCACTAGACGGCGCATAGAATCGAGACATAGACTTTCTCGCTAGTACTCCAAGAGCCTTCCTATTCATATATATAGTTCCTGTCCATCCCTTCCTTACATCCCCGCGTCTAAGGCAAGGGCCTGCTAGAACGCCTTACTGATGAGTCCACTAGCAGGCCCCGGACGAAACGTTCTCCCTCTCCTTTCCTTTTCCTAGCCTTCCTATCATAGCTAGCACGAACCGCCAAATATATAATAAAATTTAATCCTAACACGAAAATATTGGGTTCATGGCCTTGGTTTACGGATCCTGTTGGGTCCTATTATATATTAATAATAAATAAACGGATAATATACCAATAAATAATATAACATTAATATTAATAATAATAGCAACTACAACAATAACTTTAAAAAACTGATGCAGTGTATTAAGCACTTGCATCGCATTAACATAGCCGGAATTTCGAACGACCGCTCCAGCGCGTAGCATCACTGTTTTCACTTCGTCTCTTGCGGTGCTATTTTGCTTTTTGATATCTAAAGAAATGACGTTGCAACTTTCTTTGGTTGTTTTTTCTATCGTGTGATATAGTTCGGTTTCCCACTAGATCCTTAAATTTTAAGATAAATTTGTAACGTCCCTGGAGAAATCTTTTTTTTCGTTTCCCTCGTCATCACGACAGTATTGTACCCACCAATAAGAATAATTAATTATACGAAATTTGTTTTCTAATACCCATTGGGTGATCGTTGTAGAGTTTCTCGTCCTGAACAAGAATCCGAAAACCGAATTGCTCTGTTACCCTCAGTTTTTGAAAAACACGAGCTTTTGTAAAAACACGTGTTTTGGGTAGAAAATGCGATATTGCGAGAAAACTAAAAAAGCTAGGACATTCAAATTAGTTTTAAAAGATAGAGGAGAGTGTCTCGATTAAATTGGTATATATCATTGTTATATTGCATAATTCTAAGTGGGTGTAAATATTGATGAAAGTTTAAAAAACGGCCGTGATACGCATTTCCTACGTATTATTTTTGCATTTTTAGAAAAAGTTATTTGTCTAGCGCGAATTTGCTATACAGTATCGAATTCTATAGACATTTCTAATGAAGAAACTATGCGGGGTAAGTGTTGTAGCTGTATGCAATTCCAGTAAATCGAAAAAATATCTGCCGGGAGCACGGACGCGGCGTTTTGCCGCCAGACGGCCATAGCTCGCTCTCCTCGCCAAGTCAGCGCCGTGCCTACGTGCAATCAGCGTCAATGTTGAGGCTTAATATACATCCACTTTTTACAATTACAATGTTTAATTTTTTTTAATATTATTATTTCATAATTATTATTATTCATATTTTGTTATTATTCGTCATTATTTTTAGCTACCAACGATACAATTAGAAAATATTATAACTCAAAATTTAAGAATCAAATGATTGAAGACAGATTTGAAATCTGTTTATAATATAGAAAAAATAAAATGTATACAATAGAAAGTTTTTTATAGTATACAATATGCTATACATGCACAGTATTTTAAAAACTCACAAAAGTGGATATAATTCCTAACACACATAGTTTCATCAGTAATAAATAGGCATAGACACACAACAATATTTTTAGTGGCTTTGGATAAAATTTGAATTAAAGTTTTTTCATTTAAATATCTTTTTATATGCAATATGTCCAATATGATAAAACTACTTTTTACATTAAAGTTATGTTTACAAGTTGTAAAAAAAGATTTATACTTCAGAAAGGTAAACACGAAACACATTACTACTTCAGATACATTACTATTGTATTAATTAAGTATTGATAGAAAGACAGCAGCAATTTGTCGTTACCGCATCTACGAGTTTTGTAGCAACAACTGGCATGTGCTATCAAGGATACTTATTAGTAAAACGTCTGGCATTGTCTAAAGCATACTCCTGAGAAACATATATCTACATTAATATTGCAATTACAAGACAGTGTTTGTAAAACAGTGGCTTAATAATGCGTCCATTAAAGGTATCACAAAGACTTAGTACATGAAATAATGCAGCTATTTGCAAAGTACGTGCGCAGCAGTGTTTGGCCAATACGACGCAATGCATTGTTAAAAAAATTAATCACACCCAAGTTTCTTCATTTCTTTTTTAGACTTTTCTTGTGTCAAGTTTGTTCACCTCATCAAATGTTGTTTCCAGTAAGAATTACAGACATATTTAAGCATAAAGATTTTGAAGACATCTTGTGTATTTGACATATGTGTATTTGATTGCATACATAGTTTAGGTGTTGGTGAGTGAATAAAATATCTAAGTCTTTTTAACACAGAGGGAATCTTCATTTTGAAGGATGAAGTGCTATGCACGATGGTCTGTTGGTAACTAACTTTTTGCACCCTTGACACGTTTTTTAACGCATCGGACATCCCTTGGTGGAGGTGTCTTCCAAACGATAAATTTGGCAATGCAGCGGGATTTCCCAGTGAGCACTTACCTCTCCCGTGCACGGTCAGGGACCGCCAGACCCGGAACCGTGGTTCCTTCAGAAATCCCCGGTTTATGATGCCGTACGTAGTTATTGAGACCGTTGACGAAAAACTACAAAACATGCTTAGAGAAAATCTAACGGTATCCTCAAAAAATAGCCGTTTCGACCATGTACGTCGTAAACCGTGCTGGCCTTTTGTACTTACAATGATCGTTTAAAAATTACGCAGCCAGGCACTATACAGGAGTATCAAGAAACTGAAGTAAAAATTTGCATGGATGACAAGTCAAAAAAAAAACAAATTGTGATAATGTTTGGATCCCTGTGACTCCTGAATCCGGGAAACTTTATCTCATCATCGCTCCACCTCCTTGACCTCATTCGTCAACTCTGCATACATATGTACATAAAATAGTAAATATCTACGAAATGCTTCTTATGTTACAGTTCCAATCATATGCTATAAAATTACTGCAGACACACTTCATATGTCTATTTCTAGTAATGGACATCGAAGTAGTACTAATTAAGTGGAAAACGAACAGTTCCTTTACTTACTGTCGAATCACAACTTGTAAATGGTTACACGTTAGACGTTTAAACGCTATCACATTGGAAAGGTACAAATTAAGATTAATGAGGAATAGAATATTTTCCAATAATTTATCCTCATATATTGAAAAATTTACTTTTTAGGTTTCTGGTCCACTGTGCCATTTTTGGTTTAAGCGCAATACAGTTTCGAACACACACAACTTCACTTCGTTTAACAAGATGTAAGGAAAAGTAATATCTCATCATTCGTTTGAGTCGCTTTTGTCTCATATGTACTCGTCTTTTATCATTGCAGTTACCATCTTCTTCTTACACATAGGAAACAAGAGTCAAACGGATATGTAGCGGGAGGTTCTTTCTCTTGCCGTTGTATTCAACAGAACGAAACTGATCGTGTTCGTGACCGAATTTCCCAAATATCGAATGTCTGATGTTGCTTGATTCTAATGCAGTGTTTATTCACAATTTTACGTCGTATCTTTTGTATTGAATTGTACTGAATATCGCTTATTGAATACTGAATTTTAGTCCAAATATTTATTTTTTACAAGGACTGTTATACTAAGACCTTCAGGGGCCCTAATATTTCAAATATTCTTAGATCACTTTACTCTTAGGGTGTTTATTCCCATGCAATGTATGATTTTTACATTCATTAGTTTTCAATCAAATATGAATTGTAATAATTAAAATTGCTACAAATTTTCAATAAAACACTAAGTCAAGAACACTAAAAGGTATTCATTCATTCAGTTTTATATTTTCTGGAGATTGACAACATTTCACATTTTCGGAAAAAAAGAAGGAAAAGGAAGTCCCCATCTGGTTAGATGAATGATGATAGCTAAATTTATTACCGAAATTAGTTTATAATTCAGTAACTTTTATTCAGTTTAATAATATTGCTTTGTCTAATTTTATTCATCTAGTTAATTATATTTTCCAAAATTATATTAACCCTTTCGCTGCGGAGCGCCTAAAAATGAATTGCTCTCTTAGCAGCCGGCGCGCTACTCCATTGTCTGTACGGGCGACACGGTATGCGAGACAAGACGCTCGTAAAACAGTGTGTGGTACCGATTTTGCTGGTCTTTTCCTTGAGACGACTGGCCGACACGGCAGCCAAATAATAATAATAGTAATAATGATAATGATGATAATAATAATAATAATAGTAATAATAATAACAATTTTAGTAATTTTTAATAATTTTTAATAATCATAAATAATATAAACAATTTTTAATAATATTTCTGTGTATGATATAATTTAAAGCAGGGTTCAATACATAATCCAACGTTACACTCTTTGCATTCATATCGTGTTTCGGTTCGCTTATTGTGTTTACTGCAAACCACACATTTTCGCCTACCGTTTTGCCGGATTCCTGTTGGATTAGTATATTTTGATAGAAAATGTCCTGAAACCAGTCGTAAAAGATTATCTTTGGATGCAGTTCGACCTCCAGACTTATTGCTGCATACATTGTCATTTGGATATTTTAGCAGAATTTCTCGAATTAGACATAAATGAAATTTTGCAAATGTTATGTTCTTTTTGGATGTAATTTTATACAGTACGTAAGCATTATAAATGGAAAGATCCAGCATGTGAAAAAAAAATTTCTTATACCACTTCAAAGTTTTTCGAATAGTATTAATTGAATTTAAAATCATGTCTGTTTTGTCAACTGCTCCCATATCGCGATTATAGTCTACTATGATAGTTGGTTTTAATATTGGTCTTCCTGTTTTAATATCAATCTTTTTTGTTTCTATATACTCAGCAGAATGGTAACTTGATAACATTAACACTTCTCTTTTGTCCATCCATTTTAGTGCTAACAATTTATCCGTAGACTGAAACACAATTTCGCCTTTGCATAATTTGTTAGACATATTAGGCATTCCACGTCTGGTTTTCCTCACTGTTCCAAATGCATTTGTTTTATTATGATATAGGAGCGAAAATAATGCTGGGCTTGAGTACCAATTATCAGTAATCAAAACATGACCTTTATTTAGATATGGTTCCATCAGCGTCATGACAATATTCCCAGATTTGCCGATCTCTGCTAAATGATTGTTATTCATCTCCGTGCGTTCTCCACAATAGACTACAAAATCTTCGATATACCCTGTATAACAATCGCAGATAACATACGACTTGATTCCAAATCTACTTCGTTTTGAAGGTATATATTGCTTGAAGTGACATCGTCCTTTGAAAAGAAGCAAGCTTTCGTCGATGCATAAATGCTTATGTGGATAAAATGCTCGTGAAAAAGAATTACGCAGTCTATCGATAATGCTCCATATTTTTATCAGCGGATCTTGATTTGGTGTCTCAGTGTTGTCATGAAAGTGCAACATTTGTAATAGAGCTACATATCTGTCTTTTTTCATTATTCGTGGAATACTTTCCGTGCGTATTAATTCGTCGGTTGACCAGTATTCGTCTATTGATAATTTTTTTATTCTTGACATCAACATCAACAGAGCAAAAAATCGATACATTTCGGTCACTGTTGTATTTTTCCAAGACAATAATCGCGAGTTACTACTGCATGTAGTTTGCGTGGTATAATAATTATTGGTTTCTCTCACAATATGTTCGAGTAAATTTTCGGAAAACAAAAGTTGAAAAACTTCTAATATTGACGATTTATCGTTAATATTTGCTTTAATTCCTGATAGATTTTCATCAAAATCAAAAACTTTTGGAACCAAATTCTGCGCGCTCCAAGAAAATTGCCGTAAATCGATGTCAGGTAATTCGTCACTACTTGTGGTATGATTCCGAGCTACTTGATAATACGCGTCTCCTGCAGCATGAGTTTTGAATTTTACCTTCGTATCCAATTTCTCCAAAAACTGCAGAGAGTTCAGAATCCGATGATTCTTCTGTATCGTCACAGATTATATTTGTCCATTTACCCATGATAGGGGAAAAATTTATGAATAATTGTATTCGGTTATATGAAAAAATATCCGCACAAGAAACGTATGCAGCTATCGCGGCGAAAACAAATGAATTAATAACCATGATCATGCAATTATTAATATCAAAATGTAAAACAAATGCACGGCGCCAAAAGGCGCTGTTCGTTCAAGGGAAGTGTCCATAGTCGAGCGCCAGAAGGCGCTGTTCGCTGAGAGAAAGCGTCTATAGCCGAGCGCCAAAAGGCGCTGTTCGCAGCGAAAGGGTTAAAAAATTGCAAAATTATGTTATAAAATATTAATGTATATCAGAGAAGTACAAATAATTTCGAATCATCAATCGGAATAGAATACAAAAAAGAAATTACATACATACGTTCTTCGGCTAAAGAAAGTGAATACTTTTTATCAATATATATGTTAGAACTTGTCAACGCATGGCTATGTGAGGATGTTGTGGCAAGCATGACGTATGTATGAATTTTGATGCGTAAAATTGTGGGAGTCCCCATCTTTTGTTTCTTCCCCGACGCTCTCTCTGTCCTGATATAGAATGTGCGCCGCGTGTCTTTTTCACTTTCTTGATATAATAAACTAATAATGCAATGATATAAAGGTAATATTATTTTTATTTAAACCCATAATTCTAACAGGTTATGGGCCCAGTGTGGTAAGAGAAAAAAAGTGAAAAGATTAGGTTGACCACGTGCGTCGTATATAAAGAGAAAAAGAATTCTCGTAAAGAGGTTACGTTAACCACGTGCATCGCGTATAGGGATGAGGCGAGAGTTGAAGCTTTAAATAAAAGCAATTATGATACGTGGCGATTGCAAGCTGAGGCATTATTAGTTAAAAATGATTATTGGCAGTATGTGTCCGGTGAAAGAGTTAAGCCGGAGATTGTACAGGGTGATGCAAATTCGGTAGCAGCTTATAATAGATGGGTAATAGAGGACAGAAAAGCAAAATCTGATTTGATACTTAGTATTTCACCGAGTGAATTGAAACAATTAAAGGGATGTGAGACAGCTCGTGATACATGGTTAAAGCTTGAATCAATATATGCTTCAAAGGGGCCTGCAAGAAAGGCCACATTATTGAAACAATTAACATTACAGAAAATGCAAGAAGGAGATGATGTGAGAGAGCACATCAACAAGTTTTTCGATGCAGTTGATAAGTTGGAAGAAATGAATGTAGATGTTAACCCTGATTTGTTATCAATAATGTTATTATATAGTTTGCCTGCGAGTTATGAGAACTTCAGGTGTGCAATTGAATCTCGAGATAACTTGCCTGGTGTTGAAGCACTGAAAATTAAAATCTTAGAAGAGAGTGATGCAAGGAAACAAAGTTGCAGTACGAATGCAGTTTCAAATGCAATGTTGGTGGCGATGAAAAAGAATCAGTCTAGCAGACAGAATTTTCAGAAGAGGAAAGATGATGAAAACAAAAGCAAACATGAGAACAAAGGTATGTTAAGAGGAAGTAACCCAAACTATAACATTACATGTTTCATATGTAATAAAAAAGGGCACATTGCTGCAAGATGTTATGCGAGGGTTCCACCAAGAGGAAATAAATCCTTCACTGACGATGAAGGGAATGCAAAAATGTTAGAGGAAACATTCCTTGCATTGGCTGCGAGTAAAAATATACCTGAGGAACTGGAAGAGAAGCGGTGTTTAGATAGTGGATGTACCATTCATTTGTGTAAAAATGAAGTTGTTTCAAGATATGAAGCCAATAAATGAAAATCTGCATTTAGCCGATGAAAACTCTGCAAGTGTTAAAGACAAAGGAAAAGTCAGAATAAAGGTTGTGGATGAAAACACTGAAAAGTTCATAAATTTTGAGAATACACTCCTGGTGCCAACTTTGAGGACAAATTTAGTATCAGTTGCAAGGATAGGGACTATGAAGTAATTTTTAACAAGAATGTTGCCACTGTGAGAGATAATGAAGGCAATATAAAGTTGGTAGCAAACAGAGTTGGTAATCTATATTTTATAAAGCAACCAGGAGTACAAATGGCACAAAGGATTAGTGAAGATGATAGTAAGTTAAAAATATGGCATGAACGTTTGGGCCACTTAAATGTAAAAGACTTAATAAAAGTATTGAAATATATGAACATAAGTATAGGAGCTGGCAGTGCAATTTCAGAATGCAGGATATGCGCCTTGGGTAAACAAACAGTATTACCGTTTAAATCGTCACATGAAAGGGCCAAGAATAAATTAGAAATAATTCATAGTGACGTTTGTGGACCATTCAGACAACAATCCATGGGGGGTGCAAGATATTACTGTACTTTTGTTGATGATTATTCTAGGTACTGTAAAGTGTACATCCTGAAGGACAAAAGTGAGGTATTTGAAATGTTCCAAGAATATAAAAAGATTGCAGAGAATGTATGTGAGAGGAAAATTAAGTACCTGCAAACGGATAATGGGAAAGAATTTTGCAATGATAGATTCGATAAATTTTTAAAGGATTGCGGGATACAAAGAAGGTTATCTGCACCATATACACCCCAACAGAATGGAGTTGCTGAAAGAAAGAACAGAACATTATTAGATGCAGCCAGATGTATGATGATCAAATCGGGATTGGCGGCTGGTTTCTGGGCAGAGGCAGTAATGACGGCAAATTACGTGAGGAATAGGTGCCCAACGAGTTCGCTGGATGGTAAAATACCTTATGAGCTCTGGTCTGATCGAAAGGTAAATATAAATCATTTGCGAATTTTTGGAACAAAGGCTTTTATTGTCGATAAGACTATAACTAGAGGAAAATTAGAAGAAAGGTCGATAGAAGGTGTTATGGTGGGGTACTCTGAACAAACAAAAGGATACAGATTATATATTCCAAAAATGAGAAAGGTCATCGTGTCGAGAGATGTGAGATTTATGAATGAAGCAGAAGAATGCACGGACATAAGTCGAAATGAGATGACCACTGAAGAAGAAAGGGATATGGATGTTGATCCATCAGAGTTTTTGGTTCCAATTAATGAAAGCCAACAAACTAATGCTGAAGAAGAGGATGTATGCCTTGAAAGAAGATTACCCGGAAGACCAAAATTAATTCGTACGGGTAGGCCAGGGAGGCCAGTGAAATCATACAGAATGGCACCGGATAATCGATGTATAGAAAATCAGCAAATAGATAGAGACGGAGCGAGAAGCGATGATGAAAATGAGTTATTCGAGGATGCAAGGGCAAATTACACGGAGATAGATCTACATGAAGCAGTTAAAGGTGAAAATAAGGAAGAGTGATTTGAGGCAATTGCAAACGAGTTCAAAAGTTTATTAAAGAATGAAACATGGGATATAGTTGAAAGACCATATGATAAGAATATTATTGACTGTAAGATAGTGTTAGCGAACAAATTTAACAGCCATGGCGAAATATTTAAAAGAAAAGCTAGGTTAGTTGCAAGAGGTTTCAATCAAAGAAAAGGGTATGACTATGATCAGACTTTCGCGCCAGTAGCTAGACTAGAGTCCTTTAGAATGTTAATAGCTTTAGCGGTACAGTATAATTTAATAGTGCATTAAATGGATGTGACGTCTGCTTTTCTAAATGGAAAACTAGATGAGGAAATTGATATGGAGGTGCCGGAGCTATTAGGAGATTTTCTAGATTATATAATAGAAACTGAAGAGGGTGATATTAAAAACAAAGCGATTCGGATGTTAAAGGACATAAAGGACAAGGATAGAAATTGTTGTAAGTTAAGAAAGGGGCTATATGGTCTAAAGCAAGCGAGTCGTCAGTGGAATGTGTTATTAGACTGCGAATTAAAGAAATTAGGTTTAAAACAGAGTAAGTCTGATCCATGTATATATTTTATTAACGATAAGGAAGTATTGGTATTAATCTTAGTATATGTAGATGATATATTGATTGCGGGGAATAATGTTAATAGAGTTGTCGAAATTAAAAGGCAACTCAAGGAAGCGTTTGATATTAAAGATATGGGTGAAGCGAATTATTTTCTGGGGATAGAAATCTTACGAAAAGATGACGAAATTATGTTAATTCAAAGGAAATATATTATGGATATTTTAGATAGATTTGGTATGGAAAATGCCAACGGTTTAGATACACCTGCGAATATTAACGAAAGTTTTGATACCAATGTAGGAAATTGTGATGCACCATACCGGGAGCTGATTGGTGCATTAATGTACTTAGCTGTTGTGTCGAGGCCAGATATAATGAATAGAGTGGTATTTTTGGCACAATTTGCATCATCATATAGTAAAGCACATTGGATTGCCGCGAAAAGAATTCTAAGATACTTAAAAGAGACAGTGAATTTGGGTTTAAGATATAAACGCGGAAACTTTGAAATAAATGGATATGCTGATGCGGATTGGGGGTCTGATACAACGGACAGAAAATCATATACAGGCTATGTATTGATAATGTCAAATGCTGCGATTTCATGGAAATCGCAAAAACAAAAAAACCGTTGCATTGTCATCAGCAGAGACTGAGTATATGGCAATATCAGAGGCAGCCAAAGAAGCGATACATGTTAAAAGTTTTCTTGAAGAATTAGGTTTAGATATAGAAATTAAGTTGTTCAATGATAATCAGAGTGCGAATTTACTTGCGCGCGACGCAGTGTTTCATGCGAGATCGAAACACATAGATCTAAGGTATCATTTTATAAGGGATGTTATAAAAGATAAAAGATTTGATTTGGGATATTTACCAACAGAGCAAATGATTGCGGATGTACTGACAAAACCATTGAGCAAAGCAAAACACATATTATGTTGTAAAGGTATGGGCTTACGGGATATGAATGAGTAAATTAGGAAAGCAAATGCATGCGTTGAGGGGGGTGTGTTAGAACTTGTCTACGCATGGCTATATGCGGATGTTGTGGCAAGCATGACGTATGAATTTTGATGCGTAAAATTGTGGGAGTCCCCATCTTTTGTTTCTTCCCCGACGCTCTCTCTGTCCTGATATAGAATGTGCGCCGCGTGTCTTTTTCACTTTCTTGATATAATAAACTAATAATGCAGTGATATAAAGGTAATATTATTTTTATTTAAACCCATAATTCTAACAATATAGAAGACAAATTATTACCTTGACTCACTTCATTCTTTCTACATTAGTGTATATTTATGGAATACAAAGTAAAGATGGATATGATTGAAAATTATTTGAAATATGGAGTCCACACGCGATTCCATGGACATGGCTTAACTCGTAATACTCACCTCCATTGTACACTTTTTATTATTATTCAAACATGGATCAATTAAATTCAAACTGTTCCTGGAAATTAAGAAGTATAATTCTAAAAACACAAAATTGTGCCTTTCAAATTTGGATCAATTATGTTTATAAACTAATTTAAATCCAGCATTTTACAATAGATAAGTTTAAAAGTATCACTTTACGCAAATGTAAGTGAACGCCATATTTTAGATAATTTTCAATCACTCATCCCGATTTTCTATTTTATAAGTATGCACCAATATAATGTAAAAAGAAACAAATATCGAATTTTCAGTTTATGCTTTACACATTCACAAACATTGTCTCATTTTACAACTGAAGAACGTAAATATGTAACCTCAAATTTTTCTTACGGAGATAAGAAATCATTGATTTTTTCTAACAAAGCTATATAAAGGATATATTATTTTTCAGGAAGAACTCATTCAGAAAAATATAGAGGAAAGTAGAAATGCTTACCTACAAGATATGTAGTGGGATAACTCTCGAAGATATAGAATTTTCATTTAGGAGAAAATAAATTAGTGCATTCAGGTCAAAGGTTATTCTTTCAAATGTAGGAAATAAGGAACATTTTTTTATGTACAACGAAAATAAGTTTTGGACAGCACTAAATGACCTTAAACCACCCTGAAAGACCAAAGTATTACATGTCAACGAATTCGTCTTGAAATCGGCTACACATTTGCTTAAACGAATACATAAAGTTCTGTATAAGAAACTCATTATCTTGAATTCTTGTTAAGCACGACTAGCTGAGGAAGATTTGTAATCAGTATAATGTCTGCCATGATACAGGATAAGTTTAAACCAAATCTTTTTTGAAACGTGTTGTTTGAGAAATAATTACAAAATTACGACAGTTATAACCACATATATATTTGATATTTTTCATATCAGAAAACAATATTTTAAGTAAAAACTACACCGAGAGAAGGGATCACCCAGATGGAGCTACTACGAATTTCCGAAGATCATTTTTTTTCTTATGTATAAGCATACATTTCTTTATGTTAACCGATTCTTTTGAATATGTTATATAAAAATATTTCAATATTGAAATATAATATGAATAAAATAAATTAGTGAGATATTCTAAATTCAAAGGCGAGGTAAGATAAATATATCGATTATACTTACTGCTCCAACTATGGCCACCTTGACGTGATAGATAGACTAAAATTGATATTTTATATACTTAAATATTATTTTTGTGAGCAGTATTTACTAATTATAGCGTACTAATGTATAGAATTATGCGTGGATAGCTTATACATTATTTCAAACTTGTTATGAAAGTGTGTAACTTCAATACTGAATATATTATTACGAAAACGGAATGAGCAAAAACGGGATATTTTTTTTTATAAATTCTCTACTTTCAACCATGGATGGCCAATACTGGTTATTATACGTATATTGTTCCAGTTTTGAGTAAGGCTAAACATGATTAAAAACAAGTTAGCATGTTATAATTATTACCGGAACAATAAATTCTGAAAAA